ATTTCTTCACTGAAAGAAGAGCAAAACACTGCTCTGGAGGCTTTTCTCAGAGGAAAAGATGTTTTTGCTCTTCTCCCGACTGGTTTCGGCAAGAGGTTGATCTATCAATTGGCTCCTCTTCGTCGTCGCTCTGTTATGTCATATGCTTCATTGATCTGATTGGTTTATTTGGCCCGTCTATCACCAACATAGGCCAATCAGCTAACCAGTATTTTCGCCCCTTACCAAAATTACTTCAACGGAGCAAATCCATCTGGCGGAGTCAGGTTAAATAATAACCCCATGTTGTCCTGGAAATGAGACCAACACAAACACAAAAGTTACTTTTCTGCAGAAGAAGAGAAGACAGGTGGAAAATGTTCACTCCCTGAATGTCTGTGGTCAACTCTGCTGGGACGTCTCTGTCCCCTGCCTTTATTATCAGACTTCAAAGGAGTAACAGGAGGGGCCAGTTGGTGCCGGGGGGCCAGAGGTTGTCAGGAGGGGCCAGATGTTTACACATGATAAAGCATGATGGTTACTTGTGCAGTTTTATTGCAGAAGGAACTTACAGAAAGGAAACTTACTTTTCCTTTTCTGGGAGAATCATTTATTCTCCCTGTTTGAAGTTAAAACATCAGAACATTCCTAGCATTCCTGTAAATTAATACAAATAAAATAATGATCTTAATAAAATAGCGATTGTCTTCAATCACCGTGTTGAACTGTTTGCAGATGGCAGACGCAGCGAGGAGTGGTAACTATTCCCAAGAGCGTGACGGAGTCCCGCATCAAGGAGAACATCCAGGTCGGCCCTACGTTTAACACTTTCAGGACTTTCTGTGCTTCTGTTTTTAGCTGAAAGTTATTTTAACTTTTATTTCTCTTTCAGGTGTTTGACTTTACCCTCGAAGCAGAAGAAATGAAGAGCATCACAGCAATAAACAGAGGCTGGCGTTACATCGTACCCATGATCGAGGTTAGTGGGCAGCTGCTTATTTCTATGGAGAGACATTTTAGTCAGAGTTCAATACATTGTTAATAAATATTGTAAAATATTAAATTTCCCCATTAAATCAGCAAATAAGAAATGTATTCTTTTATTTAGTTAATACTTATTTAGAGATTGATTTCTAAATGTATTTATTTAAAACTATATCAATATTTTTTTCTAAAGAAATATCTCTATATTTCCAGATTTATATATTTAGCTGATAATGGAATTTGGTAGTTTCTCTGTTAGGTTGAACACCCCTATTAATCTTAATTATTTTCATTTCTACATATTTGGGTGTTTATATATCTAATAACTGATGTGGACACAGTTAGGGCTGCAACAACGAATCGATAAAATCGATAAA